GAGGGAGTTTCACCATATTGGCCAGTCTGGCCTCGAACTCCTGGCCTTAAGTGATCCACCCACCTAGTGCTCCCAAAGTGCTGGGTTTACAGGCATGAGCCACCACACCCGGCTTTCAGTTGCTTCTAATGTGATTTTTAGTCCCCTGATGAATTCTCCCATTTCTGGTGTTCATCCACTTACCTTTTTCTTTCAGTTAATCTTTTAGTTCACTTCCATGAAATTTATTTTAAATAAATGTTTTCTTTGTAACTCTGAAGCATATTGTTTCCCGGTGTATATTTATATTCTGTATATGTCTTTTGCTTATGTTTCTTCCTCTGTCCACTATCACCTCTATCTCTCCATTTCCATACACATATTTTTCATTATTTGAAACTACTCATTTTGAATAAGAAAAGTTCTATATTAGAATATTTTTTGACATGGAAAGTAGTGCCGTACAAATGGAGTGAACTGGGGAACTCCACATTTTTCATTTAGATTTATTCTCTGAAAGAGAGGTTGGCAAATGTTTTCAGTGAAGAGTTAGTAAACATTTTAGGCTTTACAGTCGATAACAATAACTCTGTTGTTGTAGCACAAAATCAGCCATAGCAATATGTAAATCTATGGGCAGGGATATGTGCCAATATAATCTTTTTTACAAAATACAGATGGTGCGTTGTATTTGGCCCATGAGCAATATTTTATGGGCATGGATACATGCCAATACAATCTTTTTTAACAAAATACAGATGGTGGGTTTTATTTGGCCCATGAGCAATATTTTGTTGACTCCTCCTCTATTGTACAGTTGTAGACAGGAGGCTCTTACCAAATAATGATGAGGACATGTATTACAACTCTTCCGTGCAGAGGAAGTGCAGTGAATGATAGTTTGTTCCTCTGTTGATTCTCTGTCACAAAAATGGATGCTGCTAAGTTGGCAGAGGCTGTGCTGTTACTTGATACTGATTCCACCACTGTCCATATGACTTATCAAGCACTGATACTTTATCACTCTATCTCTCTTCCTGGACAATTCTGTTCATTTCTTCTTCTATTCCCAGATGTAACAGTTATAACACATTTTTGGCAATTGCCAACCTCTCTTATGATTTTCTTTTTTGTCTATGTTTATAGACTACATTTATGGACTAAGGTTTTAGGCGGGCTTTTAGAATTTATAAAAATGGTTATCCTTCAAGAAAGTTTCTCTTAAAAATTTGAAATTGATCTGGCTTCTAAATTGTTGTCACTATACTTAGTTTTAATAAATCTGTTCAGAAACTAAATTTATTTATTTACTTTTGGCTATATGAAACCTGTGCACAAGAAGTGAATTCTTATGTTCAGTGGGTGCATGGTCTTGGAGTAAAAATACAAACAAACTGGGTGCGGTGGCTCACGCTTGTAATTGTAGCACTTTGGGAGGCTGAGGCGGGTGGATCACGAGGCCAGGAGTTCAAGACCGGCCTGGCCAAGATGGTGAAACCTCATCTTTACTAAAAATACAAAAATTAGCCGGGCATGGGGACAGGCGCCTATAATCCCAGCTATTCAGGAGACTGAGGCAGAGAATTGCTTGAACCCGGGAGGCGGAGGTTGCAGTGAGCCGAGATCGCACCACTGCAGTCCAGCCTGGGCAACAGAGTGAGATTCCATCTCAAAAAACCAAAAAAAAAAAAAAAAAAAAGAAAACATCTAATAGTGCACAATACTTGTTTAGTTATATGATCTTATTCTTTAAACCTTTCAGTTCATACATTCAACAGATGAGTTTAAACACTGATAATATGGGGGTAAGATAAACAATGTCATTCTCAAGGCAATGACTTATTTTCTCCCAGACTTACATGTTATTGTGAATACTTTAATATTAATTACAATTCTTCCCCTATCTTCCTACAGCCACCCCAGAAAGACCAAGAAGTGGGAGAGGGTAAACAAAATAGTAAGAAAAGAGAGCTTAAATAATTTTATTTATAATATCATTAAGGATTCATCATTTTTTTTTTGCTCATGTTAGAAGGGGAGCTCTTAATGCATGCAAATCCTCACTTCAACTCCCTTTTTAATAAGTATTTTATTATATAAAGTTTGGCTAGAGTTGTTATACAATATCTATAGTATATGTGTATATTCAAAGTGTTTATGATATAATATTACATTTAAAATTTGTTTACATTAGATACTGATTTTTTAAAATAGAAAATATGACCTTTAGGTAGTCTGATCAGAATTTTTAAGTGTAAACTTTGCCAAAGGATATCTTATCTAAATTGGTGAGGATTATTCACTTGGTGTGTAAAAAACATGCAGTAGTAGCCAGAGGTATTACCTTTTATTTTGATTTTTCTTTGTGTATTATTTTGTTCAAAGAATAGAAATGTATAGAAGAGATATACTATTTTCCATAATAATTTGGGGGAGATTCATGGTTAACACTATTTAAATTTTTTTCTTTTTAAAATGTTGAGTGTTTTTACTGATAGTATCTCTAAGCTTGGATATCCTCCTTACTTTTCTGTCTGTATGGAAAAAGCAAAAGGAGTAAGAAACCAAAGTTTATTGTGGGAACTGAGGTTAAGAGAGGCATAACTATCAGCTTTTACACAATTAATAAGTTGTAGTGCTAGGACACAACTCCAAATTTATCAGACTAAATCCATGCTCTTATCCATATATCACTTGCTACTATGCCAACACATTGTATCTTCAGATAATTTAATAAATGTAAATCTTTTTTCTGGATAATTCATGTCTTACAAATCACATTTTTTTATAGATCCTGTTGTTTTCTTCCAGCAAATACTGTCTAGAAATTTGTTTATTTCAGTTTTTCAATGGCTATATTTATTAATGTATTTAACTAATAATTACTGAGCTGTAGGGGAAAATAATATAAATTAAACAGATAAAATGTCAAACCTCATGAATTATTTCCATATCAAAACCTTGTTGGCCTCTGTGAAATAGTCACTGTGATCACTTCTCGGCCTTTTTGCTAAGATCAAGTGTACTATCTGTTCTTATCAGTTTAATCACTGTGGGAAGTTTTACACCTATTCTAGAGATGTGTCTATCAGTCAAAATATTTTGGGAATGCACCTCTTTCACAATTTTCTAAACAATTTTCTCTTAATCTTCACCAAATCCTAAATGAGAAGTGTTTGCTCTTAGGGTGTATATTTTAATTTTAGAAACAACTAAACATCATCCAACCTAAAGGCAACAAATTAGTTACATAGTAAGTTAAGTAATTTTTTTCCATTGGGTTACCCAACACTTTGTCTTGCTCCTTAAGATTGTAGATTGAAATATGATAGCTGTTTTCTTTGACTTTGAATGTCAATCTAATAGCAGCTCTCTTAAGAAATTATATTTTATTCCATAAATGAAGGGCAGAATTATTGGGCTACCATTTCATAAGCTTCCTGATCCAGATTTGAAGATAAGTGCTCATATTTTCTTTTTTCTTTTTTTTTTTTTTTGAGACGGAGTCTCGCTCTGTCGCCCAGGCTGGAGTGCAGTGACCGGATCTCGGCTCACTGCAAGCGCCGCCTCCCGGGTTCACGCCATTCTCCTGCCTCAGCCTCCCGAGTAGCTGGGACTACAGGCGCCCGCCACCTCGCCCTGCTAGTTTTTTGTATTTTTTAGTAGAGATGGGGTTTCACCGTGTTAGCCAGGATGGTCTTGATCTCCTGACCTCGTGATCCACCCGTCTCGGCCTCCCAAAGTGCTGGGATTACAGGCTTGAGCCACCACGCCCGGCCAAGTGCTCATATTTTCAGTCACATTTTAACAAGGTGTCGCTGATTTGTAGACATGTCTTGTATACTTACTCGGTCTGTGTCTGAATGGGGAAAAGGATAGGAGATGTAACATACAAATAAAAAAAGGAAAAAAAAAAAATCCCAAAGTGATTACAGTGTTTTTCTTGAGCTGTTAAGAGACTGATCACATATATAATGTACATTGACCATTTCTCGTCTCATTTATACTTTTCCTTATGTTTGGGTATGACCTCACTCCATTTGTGCTCAACTCTAATTTTATCCAACATTCTTGATTTTTCCTGTTGTAATAATGTTGGGTCATTTAAATTCTCCACTATAGTATTGTTATTTGATGTCCCTTTCTCTCTGTTAAATATAATATCCTTAAAAACATGCTTTGTACGTTTCATTGATTATTATATCCCATAAAGCCCCATCACAATAAATATCAAATGGGTTGGGTGCAATGGCTTATGCAATATAATCCCAGCACTTTGGGAGGCCAAGGTAGGATCCCTTAAACCCAGAAGTTCAAGACCTGCCTGGACAACATAGTGAGACTTAATCTCTACAGAAAGGAAAAACAAAATTAGCTGGGTGTGGTGGTATACACCTTTAGTCCCAGCTACTTGTGGGACTGAGGCAAGAGTATCTATGGGAGAGGTACAGGCTGCAGTGAGTCCTGATTTTGCCACAGCACTCCAGCCTGGGTGACAGAGTGGGAGCCTGTCTCCAAAAATAAAATAAAATAAACTAGGTTAAATTTTTAAGAAGAACAATTAATATCAAATGAGTGAATGACAAATATTTGAACAGAAGAGATTATATTTAAGACAAATTTACAGAGTTGGTTTGCAATTGTGTATGTAATTCTATAAGGAAAAAAATCAAGGATATATAAGAAAAGATCTGCTTTAGTCAGGGAGGAAAAAATAAAGAATTAAGAAAAAGAGTCCTAAAAGTTTAGTTACTGATGAGCAGAATATTCATTATGCATTGGAGTATATCTGAGATTTTTGCAAGAAGGAGGATGTTAGCTAAGAAAGTTGTATTTGAAGCTCATACGTGCTTTACAATTCTCATACTTATGGGAATATTAAACTCTGAAATGCTAAAGACAATTACATGTCTTATACTCTGTAGAAAGGGTTTCTATCATAAAAATAAAAAAGAATAATTCTGTATTTTAAATATTTTTCATCATTAAATATAATCACATTTCAACTTATAATTTTACAGGTACCTACAGAATACTGGACATACGGATTCAGAATCCATAAGGCTTTATCACCTTGAATCAAGGATTTATTTGATATCATCCTCAGTCTTCCTATCAAGTAACATTGTTTTGAAAAACAGAATTAACACATTTGCCATAGGGAGTTGTTTTTTTTTTTTTTGTTTGTTTGTTTGTTTGTTTTTTTAATACTTCCCATACTTTCCAATGCCTAAAAATAGCAAGGTGGTAAAAAGAGAATTAGATGATGATGTTACTGAGTCTGTCAAAGACCTTCTTTCCAATGAAGACTCAGCTGATGATGCTTTTAAGACAAGTGAACTAATTGTTGATAGCCCGGAAGGGAAAGATACAGATGTTGAAGAAGGATCTGAAGTCGAAGATGAAAGACCAGCTTGGAACAGTAAGCTACAATACATCCTGGCCCAAGTTGGATTTTCTGTAGGTTTAGGAAATGTGTGGCGATTTCCATACCTATGTCAGAAGAATGGGGGCGGTAAGTAATTTTTTTAAGTGATAAATTACTGTAGTAAATTGCAATTGGGTTTCTCAAATAGCTGGTATTATTGCTGTGTCTCATTATTTTTGAAACTTTCAATTTCATTGTAAAGCTAGAGAAACCCACTTCTTTGTGGGAAGTGAGCCCAGATATGTTTTCGGATTAGGTTTCCATAGGAGCACATGGGCTTGCTGTGAATACTCCGGGATCGCTTAAGGGTAACACATTCTCAACTTCTTTCTCTGGAAGCTTATTAAACATTTCTGAATTACTGAGTGAAACTTTTCTAACAAATATTGCATCATTTGTGCCTGTCAGTTATTCCCTTTGAAGAATAATCTAAAGCTTCTGATATATGACAATACTGGTGAAGGAAAATAGAGAATTTTCTCTCCATGATTTATTAATTCTTAATTTTAAGTTGCCTCACTCTTCAAAAAATAAAAAATGATATGTAATTTAGAATAATTATGATCTTCAAATGCTGACAAGAACATTTAAATCCCAGTAGAAGGAATGTAAACAGATAATATAATGCTAGACATTCTTCATCCTTAGGCATTTTATGTATTTCCTTTCCAGTTCCATGGTATTTTGGAACAATGTTCAGTTTCAAAGACAACTTTAAAGAAATTAGCAACCTTAATTTTGAACAAAATTATCTGCAACATCATTGCTATTCTTGCTATTAATATCTGTGTTTGTACTTATAAAGGCTTATTTAGCAAAAATTATCTTAGAAGTCTAGGGAAAAAACTTTACAAAAGAGAAAATTGTTTATGTATGATGCTAGTTCTATAGTATACCAAAATCAAACTGAATTTAATCTAACATTGGATTGAAATGTTATTATATATATATGAAATATTATTATTTATGTACATGTACATGCTGTTAAAATAAATGTGGCTGAAAACAAAATACTCCATATGTCATGCATTTCAGGACACAAAGTATATAACAAATATTTTGGTATTTGATTCTAGTTTGTGATAATTTCATTGACTGGGCAAAAATATGGTTTATTTTTAATATAGTTGTAATCTACAAACCCTGCATCAAATAAAATAATAAAACCCATGCGTATGTAAATTTTTTCCTGGCCACTGAAACATGAAACTCTAAGATGTTATGGTGACAAAATATATTTAAGATATCTTTTAGTTAATTCAAGTAGGCACAAAACAAAAGGTTTGGAAAACATAGCCCATTTGGCAAATCTGCCTTAGAGGTAAAGATCGATACATAGAGTCAGTGATGCACTGTGCATCCCTATACTGAACAGCTCCTTAGCTAGCCAGTAACCTCACACATGAATTATTTATCAAATCAGCTGTAAGCAACTATGTACTCTCCTGCCTTTTGTTTCTCACAAATCATTCCATTTGCTAAGACTAGCAGAAGATCAATTCTGGTTTTGAGACTTTTTTGCCTTGTAAATGGTATTGACCACACTGTTAAAGAGGATAGCTGATTTGGCTAAAAAGTCAGGTTGACTTCCATTTTGTACAATTTCTGTCTTGCTGGAGAGTGCTGAAAGATTTTATATGTAGTAATGGGTTCTTAGCAAAAATGGCTCCTCCTCCTTATTTCCAAATGTTAAAAAAGTCAAAATATCTTTTTAGTATTATTTATTTTTTACTAAATGGAAATATTAGAAAGCAGTACTATACATATTATAAAATACCACCTGATTTTTCATTTTAGAATGGTTGTTACAGTACCAAAGATTGCACTCAAAATTCAGTATGTCATTGAGTCTTCTAATTGTTGGACGAATATCTTCTGGCTAAACAACAAGAAGATAGTTCTCAGCCTCAGGCTATCAAAATCTTATTCATGAATCATTTAAGCACTTTCTGAGTAATAAAGAAAAAGTAATAGAGTCAATATAAGTTTAATTTCCAAATGATTTTATCCTTTTAAAGCACAATGGTTAAGCGAAGTAGGTGGTATAATATACGGACTTCCAGATCAGGTTTGGAAGTCAATTGACGGTTTGAAGCCTGGTTCTTTTTCACACTACCCATGTGACCTTTCACAGGCTACCTCATTTGTTCAGGCTTAGTTTCCATCCTGTAAAATAGGGTTAATAATTGTATCTCTCTCCAAGGATTCTTGTAAGGGATAAATTAATAGCTACATGTAATATGTTTAGAAATGTGGCTGGCAAATAGTAAATGTTCAAATATATATATTTAAAGCATAACACATTTATTTAATCGTAGTCTTACATGACATGAGAACTTTCAGAAATGAAGACCCAAAGACTCAGGGAAAACTGTTTTTATGCTTAGATTATGTGAAGAATAGGCAGCCATGTAGAAATGTACTTGGACAAAAGGGTATGATCTAATGAGAATAGACTAAAGGAAGCAAACCCAGCAAATCCTGTCTGTTCAGATTCTTCTTGGCCTCTCTGAGTAGCATTCCTTCCTCCTGGATATGAAACAAGACCTGTCTGGAATGAGGATCTTCAAGGGAAAAGGGAGAAAATGAGCTTTCTAGGTGTTGTGGCTTGCTTTGGGGAAGAGACATTCTAGTTTCTATGACCCACCTTGAGGGAAAATAAATCTTGTGTCTGTGACTTGCTTCAGGGACAAAAAAAGAGTGGGAAACAGGGGTAAATGAAAAGGCCAGGAAGCCTTGGCTTCCGAGTTCCTTCCAATTTCCTTTAGTTCAAGGTACCCAGCATGCCCAAGTGCCATGCTTAAAAGAAAAATTATTTCAATAGCTTTTGGAGTACAAGTGGATTTTTGTTACATAAATGAATTATATAGTGGTGAATTCAGAGATTTTAATGCATCCCTCACCCAAGTAGCATACACTGTACATAATATGTAGTTTTTTAACCCTATCCCCCATCTCAGTCTTCCCCTTCTGAATCTCTAAAGTCCATTACATTATACTGTATGCCTTTGCACACTTATAGCCTAACTCCCACTTATGAATGAGAACATAAAGCTTTTGGTTTTTTGCTCCTAAGTTATTTCACTTAGAATAATGGCCTCCAGCTCCATTCAAGTTAATATGAAGGGCATTAGTTTGTTCCTTTTTATGGCTGAGTAGTATTCTATATGGTGTATAATATCACCTTTTTTTATCCACTCGTTAATCGATGGACACTTAGGTTGTTTCCACATCTCTGCAATTGTGAATTGTACTGCTGTAAATATATGCATGTAAGTGTCTTTTCCTTTTTGTTTTTGACTTTTTTTTTTGACAAGGTCTCACTCTGTCACCCAGACTAGAGTGCAATGGTACGATCTCAGCTCACTGCAACCTCTCCCCCACTCCGGACTCAAGAATCAATCTTCCCACCTCAGCCTCCCAAGTAGCTGGGACTACAGGCGCATACCCCATGCCCAGCTATTTTCTTTTCTTTTGGATTTTTTTTTTTTAGTAGAGACAGGGGTCTCACCATGTTGCCCAGGTTGGTCTTGAACTCCTGAGCTCAAGCAATCTGCCAGCCTCAGCCTCCCAAAGTGCTGAGATTACAGGCATGAGCCACCATATCCAGCCTCAAGTATCTTTTTCACATAATAACTTTTTTCTTTTGGGTAGATATCTAGGAGTGGGCTTGCTGTCTTGAATGGAGATCTACTTTTAGTTCTTTAAGAGATCTTCATACTGTTTTGCATAGAAGAATTTGAGATAGAAGAAAAGTCTTAAGTATCCAACAGCACATCACACACACATAACTGGAAAAAAAAATCCCCAATGAGTTCAGTCATAATTCTTTCTCTCTCTTTTCTTACTCATTCACATGCATATAAACAAGCCATTCATAATCTAAGATTTGATGCAGGTGTTAAAATTCACTTTCAGTCTTTGGGAAAAACGTTCAGGTCAACAGTTGCTGAATGTTACTCATCATTTTAGAACTAGAATTTTGTTTTCTAAGCTCATGCATCCAATTTTTACGTTGTATATGTAGTTTTGTTAGAATCAACTAAGAATGAAAGACTGAAAATCAGTCATGGGAAGGTTCAGATTATGTAGCAACCACTATGTAGGGAAAATTCCTGTATATAATCATTATTACAGAGATATACAGATGCTGAGATAAATAATTTGAAAAAATCCATTATTTCACTGCTTCAGCTGAAGACAGTTATTCACTAAGTATTTGTATTCCACTAAATATTCCATTAAGACAATTTGAATAGCTTCAAAAATCTATTCAGTGCCATTAAACATATGATAAATATGTAGGAAATGCATAATAAAAGGCTCTTTATAGAAAATAGGAATTAGTTACCATTGATTATAAGACCTTTACATTTAACAGTATCTAGTTGGACAAAACTGCAGATTAAAAAATTGAATATAAAAAGTTTAGCTAAGAGGTTATTTAATAATAATTTGCACATGTAGCTTCTTGTAGGAATGACCTCCGCAGGCTCAGGAAGGTCCCTTGAGCTGGGTAGTTTGAGACTGCAGTGAACAGTGTTCACACCACTGTACTTCAGCCTGGATTTTGGAGACAGAGTGAGACCCTGTCTCCAAAAGAAAAGAAAGACACAAACAAATGAGTAAAGGTTTCACATTTATCTTTTTATAATTCAGTTAATAGAATCTTGTATTAACACTGTCAAACTATTTAGGTACCTTTTAAAATCACCAGTCATAGTCATACATCTTAATTTGTGATTTAACTAAAAAATACTTTTTAAAATATGGAAACTTTATTATAAGGATAATAACATACATTTTTATAATAGACATTAAATGTTTTAGTTTCTTAATGACTCACTACCTTTTCTGATAATTTTGGAAAACAAAAAACTCTTTGTATACTTCTTTTCTGTAGTATTTATGGGAAAAAAAACGACATTTGTCTCTGGTAGAAATTATTTTGCTGGTTTTTTTTTTGTTTTTTTAAAAATTTTTCAGTCTAAGCAGACATTTCTTCTTCCATGACATTATTTTATTTGGAAATAAAAGTCAACTTTAATGCCATAAAATCTCATTCACTCTAATTTTTCTGATTTAGAATGCATTATTTCAATGAGTTTGCATAAATTTTAATAAATGAGTTCATAAACATTGTGTGAATAAGATTTCTAGGAGTTTGTGAAATCTGCCCCAGAAAAGAATGAATTTTAAATAATCAATTATTTTTATGGAAAATGAAACTGTTTTACTCTTTAAATAAATTTAAACTAAAGCTATTCATTAATATTCTTAATTTTATCCTAGTTATTTTATTATCAGAAACCCTTTGTAGAAATCAAATTCAAGTTTCAGAATCTAGAAAGTGCAAAGTAATGAAATTGTGTTTTCTTCAGAGTTCTCCATAATGACACTATATAGTAATTCAAATATCTTTAATGGGATAAAGTGAATTAGTGTATTTTCTACTGTGAGTATTGAAAATATAATCTATGTTTTGTTCTTGTTTCTTTAGGTGCATATCTTTTACCATATTTAATACTACTTATGGTAATAGGCATTCCTCTTTTTTTCCTGGAACTCTCTGTGGGTCAAAGAATTCGGCGAGGCAGCATTGGTGTATGGAATTACATAAGCCCTAAACTGGGCGGGATTGGATTTGCAAGTTGTGTAGTAAGTTTCCTGGTGTTGATGTATGCTATAATCTTTATAGGGTTTGAAATGATATAATTCATTTTTAAATGAAACTTTGGAGTGTGTGTTAATAAACAACTCTTTTACCATGTTTTAGAAAACATTACTGGCATATGGACTAACTATAAATATTGCTGTAGCTCGGTGGTGTCAATGCCTGTTCTAAGTCCTGAGAAAGACATTAACTTTTTAGAAAAGATAATGTGTTCCAAATAAATAATAAAATGAAGAGGATGTTTAAATGTTAAGTAACATTTTATGCATTTGATTTCATTGTTTTAATGGAAGAGGTATGAGAGGTTTAATGGAATGTCATTTTATTTTGCAGGTGTGCTATTTTGTGGCTCTCTACTACAACGTCATCATTGGCTGGAGTTTGTTTTATTTTTCTCAGTCTTTTCAGCAACCCCTGCCTTGGGATCAGTGTCCTTTGGTGAAAAATGCTTCACACACTTGTAAGATATGTATAATACAATGTTTTGGTATTTAAGCATTATAAGAGTGGCAAAGGTACAAGCTTTCGAGATATTTTCTTTTCAAAAATAATGTAGAAACATCATTCAAAATTATCATTATAACAGACTTTGCTCACATTCAGGATTGACATACTCTTAGAGATAGACTTTTGGGACCATCTAGTTTTTCTAGCTCTTTCCTAGTTATTTTACTATGCCCTATGATATTAGGGTAAAGTATTATAAGCCTTCACTTATTAACTTTGATAATCTTTATTTTGTAGGCCCTGATTGATGCCTTACATTTTCATTAAAACTAACACAAAGGAGACAGAAATACGAATTTGAATGAAAATAGCTGCCTTTATATCTTTGGTTCGGTTGTTTCATACTTTTCCCATCATTTTTTAAATCCCATAATATAATATAAATATTATAAAGAACAGTCACCTATAGTAGTGATGTCTAGTAAACATAGATTCTAATGCACAAGTATAGTTTATATTTTTCAAGTAAACATGTTGAAAGAAAGTAAAAAGAAATAGATGAAATATTTTACTTAATCTAATATATAAAAATATTATTTCAATATATAATTACTCTAAACATTATTAATATAATAATTCACAATAATTTCCAATACTGAATCTGAAATCTAGTTCAAATTTCACATTTGTAACCCATGTCACTTTAGATTGGCCTCATTTCAAAAGCAACACTTGGCCAGCAGCTAGCATATTTGACAGTGCTTACCCAGGGAGTCAATCCCATAATTCCAGGGGTAGTAGGGGTGATAAGCCTGATTTGTTTAAATTACTTTGATAAGGGTTTGGGTGCAGTGGCTCACGCCTGTAATCCCAGCACTTTGGGAGGCCAAGGCAGGTGGAGCCCCTGAGGTCAGGAGTTTGAGAGCAATCTGGCCAATGTGGTGAAACCACATCTTTACTAAAAATACAAAAATTAGCTGGCTTTGGTGGTGGGTGTCTGTAATCCCAACTACTTGGGAGGCTGAGGCAGGAGATTCACTTGAACCTGGGAGGCAGAGGTTGCGGTGAGCGGAGATCGCGCCATTGCACTCCAGCCTGGGCAATGGAGCAAAACTCGGTCTCTAAAATAAAAATAAAATAAAATAAAATAAAAATAAATAAATAAAAATCACTTTGATAAGAAGTTCACATATTCTTACTGCAGAACTACGTAAGAAATATCTAACAGGATACATTTCTGTTGGTTGCACAGTTGAGATTTTATTGTTCATTGTGAATGTACACGCTGCTATACAATGGTAGTACTTTTCTAGGAAGCATTAAGAATTCACTTACAGGTTTATTGGACAAAAAATTGTCTCATTTTCTTTATATTCTGAAATAATTGTGTGTTACTTTTCTTTCTACAGTTGTAGAACCAGAATGTGAACAAAGTTCTGCCACCACCTATTACTGGTACAGGGAAGCACTGAATATTTCAAGTTCCATTTCTGAAAGTGGGGGCTTAAACTGGAAGATGACCATCTGCTTGTTGGCTGCCTGGGTCATGGTTTGCTTAGCTATGATCAAAGGCATTCAGTCTTCTGGAAAAGTTAGTATGTTAGAGCCCTTCTCTTTTCTGCTAATCACCATTTCTGGATTCATCCCTCTCTCAAATTCTGTTAAAATTTTCTGTGGGCAAATCACACATAACGCTTCATTCTAGGTAGTTAAAGATTAGTGAAAAGTGGCACTTTAAAAGTGTGCTTAAATTTTTAAAAAGACAAATAAAAACATAAGTGTTTTATAATGAAATCTAAGGTTAATTATAATGTTTCCTTATTTCAACAAGATCTTTAAAATGTTTGTTAATACTTAAAAGTCCTTTCTTCTTGCCATTTATTCAATTAACCCTAATGTTTCAGTTCTCTAATTACCAATTAAATTATGGAAGTTGGGAAAGTAGTAAAATGAGTAATTCATTCATTTTATTTGTTTGATATCATTTGTTTCACTCTGCTGTAGGCGTTCTAAGGAATAGTTGCATAAGACATTTTGAAATAAAGTCGTGTGGAGTGTTTCTTAAAGCTCTGAACATCATTAAGTAGTTAATAATAATTCCAACAAGGAATTCAGAGTAGTGTAAAAGACTAAATATCATTCCTTCTAAGGCAAATTGAAAATTAGAATGGTTGTGGTTTAAAAAGACATTAAGTAAATTCTACGTAGCTTATTTGTTGTTATTTTTAAAGGATGCACTAGGAAAGTAATTGCTATTCACTATTTTGCTTTCATATTACTTTTTTTCTTTTTTTTTTCATTATTACAGCCATTATTCTAAAGCTCTCTATATCTCTTGGCTGGATCATAGCAAGAATTTACTGTTGACTCTTCTCTCTGCCGTTTAACAGTACAACTGTTCCATTCTCCTTTTCAAAGTATAACTCTGATTTCAGGCTAACTTATTACCACTCATCATCACATACTAGCAGGAATGGCAATAGTATTAGTAGTAGTAGCAGTAATAGTAGAAGTAGTCATAATAATAATAATAATAGATGATAAAGATGTTTCCGACAATAATTATGGTAAGAACAATCATTGAAGCCAATATTTATTACAAATTTATTTTGCTTTGGGTACTGTGATAACTACTTTTTATGCTTTATCCCATTTAATTATAAAAACAACTCTTGAGAAGTAATTTTGATTTTCAGAACAATTTTACAGATTTAAAATAAACAGACTTGAGAAATTAGGTTGACTTATCCAAAGTTTCATGGCTACTAAGTTCTAGTATTTGGAGTCAAATGCAAGTCTGTCTAAATCTAAAGCCCGTGTTCTTTAACGCAATACTATAATGTCTCACCCTGTCCTAGTCCCAACAATTAGTGAATTCTTTCAGGGCAGAAGTCTGTCTGATTCATCTTTGCTTCCTGTTACTTTAGATTTAATTAAAATTTTTAGTGACTTTTTAACTTGTAAATTGTAGCTGATTTTACATTTACCTTCCTGCAGGAAACTCTGTATCATTTTGTCTTTTGAATTTGTGAATATACTTGATAGCACATCTAAATATCTTTAAGTCTTTGACAAATGTTATTGTATTGTATGACTAAATAACTTCAAATTGTTCAATTGTGTGTCTTCCACTACGTCAGAACCACATTCCACTCACATTATAAATGAAGGAATAGATTCTTAAATAAGACCTAACCATATTGATATGATTCCTAACATAATATCATTTGGTAGAAAGAAAACCAACTGTGGTCATCCAGAGAAGCTCGAAAACTCTTGTACTCAAGTTCTGTTACTACCACGTTTTGTTTCTGTTTCTTCTTAGTCTGTGTCGTAGCATCACTTAAAGAATTATGCATCCTTTTCTTATCACAGAATCTTGGGCTTGTTTTTCTCATGTCACATAGTATAAATTTATATAGAAAATGTAATACAGTTTATTTAGTGCATACACTCATTATTTTAATGAGAATGCTTCAGGAAAAGACTAGTATTTGGGCAATATTTGAAGAAAGAATTTAACAGGCACTGATGGGGAGAAAGCAAGCTGTAGGTAATATGAGCAAAGATGTGGAAGCCAAAATAGTCACAATTCCTCAATCTGAAACAATGAGTTAAGTATAATAAGAATGACTTCATGAGGAATTAAATGTTAAGCTTTGTGTTTACCTACTAAACAGAAAATGCCCCCAAATAAACAGTGTCACAAGTACTGAAGAGAGAAATATTGTTTAAGGCTAGGACATGGAAAAACAACTTAGAGGATTTAGCAGCTAAAAGAAGAATGAGTCAGCTGGTGATGTGCTTGGTCAAACCACATAGTCATACATGCATATACATATACCGCAAAATGCTAAGTGGAAACTGCATGAATTAAAAGAGGGGTATGATAGGGACATTGTCCTTTGGGCTAGGTAGGCACATATCAGTTGGACCACATCTGCAATACTGGATTTTACTGAAATCTTGTATTTTCCTTTTTATTATGAGAACTTTCAGCTCTGTGACTAAAGTCTTCAAATAGTTAAACAAAAGAAGAATAGGGCTGCTTTGTGTGACCATAGAAAGCAAAGCTATGATCAAATATTGGCTATTATGGAGGAGGTTGTGATGGTGGTAAGCCTTCAAAGAAAGAAAGGCCTTTCAAGAATCAAACTTGACAATAATGAAATCGGTTGCCTCAATGGTAGAGAGCTCAGCATCACTTGAGGTGGTCACACAGAAGTGGCATGTGCCCTAGTTATAGCATCTAATAAAGGGATGCCTGTCTCAAATATGGAGGATAGAAATGAGCAGCTCCAAGCTTTCTTCGAACTCTAAGGTAGTATTTTCTACTCCGACTACTTTTCTATTGTTACTATTACTATGCTAAATACTGTGCATACATTAGCTTATTTATTCTTTCTGTCAGCTAGATAATTTACGTGTTTTATCCCCATTTTACTGCAAAGTTGACAAGCTCAGGAAAAATAAATATTTGGCCAGAATTAAGCAACCAATACATGATAGACAGAGCTAAAACTAGACCATAAAATTTTCAAAAAGAATGATACATTCTGAAGGTATATTTATAATAAACATTTTCATATGTAAAACAAAGGTTTATGTTTTCGATTTTTTAAACAGTTTAGTAAAATGAAAATGTTTTATACATGTTTTATACAATCTTTTGAATGATAAAATAGTCTCTCTTACTAACATACTTGCTTCTACAGGCATAACAGTTGTCAAGGCCCGGGGAGGTCTTAAAAATCAGTCAAAGGAACATGTTTCATTGTATCATTTCCCAGTTTTAAACATGTATACTTCTTGGCCAATGAGTAAGAATGATTCACCCATTCATTATTATTTTGAGAAAATATTTATTAAGCATTTATTATGTTCTAGACACTGATCTAGTTTAGGAAATACAGTTAACAAGGTAAACAATGTGCCTGTCCTCATGGAGTTTCCATTATAGTGGCAGAGGCAGCAAACAATAAACACATTTATAAAATAACTTCAAGTTACAAAACATAAAGCATGGAAACAAGAAAGTGGTTGGTATACATATAGTCAGTAGGTTGAATTTAACTCATTTTAATAATATTATGCAACTGGCTATTTTGGTCTAATAAGATTAGAGCCATATGACCGGATGCAAATAATTTGTGTTTAAAAATGACACAGATATTTATGTAACCTGCTGACTCCTAAGACATATCTTTTTAAATCATGGAATTTAATAATGAAATATTTTGTCCTCTTACCTGCTCACAGAAGAATACAATTGATGGGTTGCCTTCTTAATATCACTTAAATGTTTGAAATACTGACTTATTTTTCTCCATTTTGTGGGCTTGAAATGTTCTTGTAACTTACTAGGAAACTGTGTTAGAGTTTTATTGAATACAGATCAGTGTTCTTAAGAATTTAAATGTTTGTTGAATTAATAAATGAAAATCGAAATATCTGGACATATAATTAGAATATAATTTTCAAAATACTGCAGAATAAAGATAAGCTTGCAATTTTAGGAATTACGTGCAGGAAGAAAAACTCAAATTCCTGTAAATCCTGTCTCAATGAACAATGTATTTGAATATCTGCTGTTTGTCAGGCACTGATGGATATGCCTATGAGGCCACAGTCTGTCCTCATGGAACCCATAATCAATGAGTGAATTGTGTACAAGAAGAAAAACTTAAATTCCTGTAAGTCTTATCTTAATGTGCAATATATTTTAGTATTATATTATTGAACAACAATAGCACAACATATTGTAATGATGATTAGAACATACTAAGTAGAGTAACAGAAGCACATAGAAAGTGTGTAATAGTGGCCAGGCGGTGGCTCACGCCTGTAATCCCAGCACTTTTGGAGGTCGAGGCAGGTGGCTTGCCTGAGCTCATGAGTTTGAGACTAGCCTGGGCAAAACAGTGAAACTCCGTCTCTACTAAAATACAAAAAATTAGCCGGGCATGGTGGCAGGTGCCTGTAATCCCAGCTACTCGGGAGGCTGAGGCAAAAGAATCACTTGAACCTGGGAAGCAGTGGTTGCAGTGAGCTGAGACTGCACCATGGCACTCCACCCTCAGCGACAGAGTGAGACTCGGTCTCCAAAAAAAAAAAGAAAGAAAGAAAAAAGAAAGTGTGTGATAGTGTAGAGTCAGCAATTGCAATTAAACTGGATTAGGAAGAAGGCTTCACAGGGGATGTAAATTTTGGAGCAGGGTTTGATGGTTGAAGAGAAGTTCAGCAGCAAGTTCACAGAGAACTGTGTGTAGGCACAGATAACAGCATGTGCAAAGCTCAACGACTGCTGAGTATTTCTGTGTGACTTTTACATACAACTTGTGCAGCTCATGGAAGATGAAGGATGATATTCAAATTGGTTGATGATATTGAAGGATTTGTGAACTCTTGTAAAATGATGGGCTGTTACCTAGCAAACAGTGTGGAACATTTGAGGATTTTAAATAGTTCAGTGACAGCACCAGATTTTTAGAAAGATCACTCTGGCAAGTGTGAAAGATGGATTTCTGGGATGCAGCGGAAAGCTAACAGAATCTGGAGGCAAGATGAGCAGGAAACTGTTTTCATACTGAAAGGTATTGTGCTATTGAGAGGGGAAGCAAAGGGACAGATGTGAGATTTCTGTGGTAGAATTAGCTGGGTGTGGTGATCAGTTGGTTTATGGGATTTGAGGAAGAGGGACATACTAAGGATAGATTAGAATATTTTAGCCTGGAATAATATGAGTACAGGAAGAATCTTTTCTTAGTACCTAATTAGAAATTATATTAAAAATATAAAGATAAAATATAAAATTAAAAAGGTATATTTTATTGGATAAAATCATAATCTAACTAGACTTTGTAATGTATAGTCTTCATTACACTTATATAAAAGTAGAATTAATAAAGCAGTACATTTGAGTTTTGTTTTAAAAGGTAAAAACAAGCTATTGTTCAAAAGTAAATCCATACTTTTGGCTAGCCTCAACATTTGTGAAGAAGAATCATAAAGGTGATAACTTTAATTCAAGTGAGATCAAGGCAACTGCCAAATTTAATGAATGCCAGAAGTAGGCAGGGAGAATGAAAAAAATCCATCTGAAAGCATTCTGATTTTTTTAAAAAATCAAAAAATTTGAGTGAAGGATTAATCAAAGGATTAAACCAATTTGAAATTATTAAAAAATTATGTTCATTACAACTAATTAAGTTAAAATATAATTTAGTTTTAAAATATTGAGTTCTAAAGTATGCTGACATTTTATCCATATTTTTTCCTTAGAGTGTGCCACGTGTTTAAATATGATTCTTAAGTGGGTAAAAGAGAGAGAGAAAGTGCCCCTTATTGTGTTGCCTTATGTTAATGTTGTTTGTAGTTATTACTGAATTCAGTATCTCTTACCTGCCCGGAGGCATCATTTGCTATGACACTTTTTCCTCCATTGTTCCCATTCTCCTTCCATTCCTTCCTTCCACAGATACATATTGTAGAGTTACTATGTCAGCAACTGTGTTAGGTGTGTGGGATTTGGTAGTAAACAGAAAAGATCTTTACCCTCACTAGCTTTTAGCCTGGTAGAAGATACAAAAAATAAACACAGAAACACATAAATAAAATGCCAAAAGTGCTAAGTACTCTAAAGAACAACAACAAACCCAGGTAATATCACTGAGGGTTGGCAGGGGCAGATGGGAAAGAGAATATGGGAAAAGGCATCACCTTATTTTGGGTGGTCAGGGAAGACCTCAGGGAGAAGACAAAGATGAGACTAAAATAGTAAGGAGGAGCAAGTCATCTGCAAATAAGGAAGAGGTGCTTCTGAAGGAAGGTGCAGCCCTGCACCCTAAGGCTGGCTGAGCTTGGTAGACTCACAGGATAGCAAGGGCCTGAGTGGCCAGAGCTCCATGGGAAGAGTGGTGGGCAGGCAGGCAGGCAGGCACTGTGGCGTAAGGCTTTGCAGGCCAGAGGGTGGAATCAGCACTTCACTCCAATGGCATTAGAAATTCCTGGAGTGTTTTAAGCAGGGAAAGACATAAACCAAGGGGCAGCCAGCAATTCAGATAGGAGAATATTATGAATGGTCCAGAACCACTTCTAGATGTTTGGCTTTACCTGTGGGATGGAGGGTGGGGCCATTTTCTGAAATAGAGATGGGTGGGAACAGCTTTGAGGGAAATTCAGAAGTTTCCCTCTGGATCTGAAACATTTTAGAGACCTACTAGGCCTCCAGAGGAAGATGTCAAGGAGGCAGTGACTGAGTAGCACACTTCCTTTTCTATTATAAATATTTGATGAACTGTTTAATGGTGAAAATTGCTGAAGCAGAAAGTAAAATCTTTACACGTTTGATTGTTTGGGTTCTGGAAGATACAGCATAGGAACAATGCTGCATTGAAAGCTTTACAGAATCACAATGAAAATTTGGTTAAAAGAAAAAGACATAGGACTTTATTTTGCTACTTAGAACAACAACAAAAAAGTAGAAATTCATTAGGTAGTTAGTGCCTGTTCATTTCTGTCTTAAATATTTCTTGTTTTATGGACTATAAGGAATCAACACTGTTGAAGCTACACCATAGCTTATGGATTTTTTCAAAGGAGATAGAATCTTTGAAATTTAAATTACATCTCAGATAGAATCTTAAGGCCAAATCACAACTCATAAACCATTCTTAAAAAATGGCTTTAGAAGTTATTAATAGTTTTATTAACCCTGTCATGAAACAGTGACTGTCAAAGTACAGAAACTAACATATAAAATCTTAACTATAAAAATATCATTGTCATTGCATCTCACTTATTTTTATTTTTCTTTCTTTGCAGATCGTATATTTTAGTTCTCTGTTTCCATATGTGGTACTTATATGCTTCCTCATCAGAGCATTCCTTTTAAATGGTTCAATTGACGGAATTCGCCACATGTTTACCCCTAAGGTATGTACCGTATTTCTATTTAAGGCTTATGATCATAAAAGCTTTATGTTTATTGTTAAAATGTTCTAAGTTATATTTAAGGAATAATTGTTCTAATATATGTACCTTAAACTTTTAAAATATAGTTTTTAACCAGTCTAGAAAAACCAGCATTTTTTTATGTATAATTATAGCCATTTATCTCCATTTTCTAGATCCCATTTTGATTTTAGAGTGAGGCTACCACTATTTCAACTTCAAAAATCCCTCTTTTATAATAAATTTATTTCTAATTTTTATACTGATTTAACTGCAATTTTTCGGTCTTCATTTACTGTTTCCCCTTTCTTCTAGTGCTTTTTAATCTTTTTGTGTTATGGACCCATTTGAAAAAGTGACGAGGATTTTCTTACCAAAAGAAAGTAGTGAACATATTAATTTGCTTAGTGTATCTGGAGGTTGACCGATCATCTAGAATTCATGGACCCTAAAATAAGATTAAGAACCCTAAAATACTCTCTCAGAGAAAATTAGTGTTTTCTTTTCTTAGTGAATTTTTTTGAGGTTTTGTAGTTTTGTATCTTCTGGAAGAATATAGTGATCAGCTTGTGAAATTCTGTAACTTCTATAGATGCATATATATTTTAGGAAAATTCTCATTAGATGCCATCAAGGGCTCAGAACTTATAATCCATCATGCAACTTAGTAGAGCCAAACTCAACACTAGGCACATTTAACCTAGTTAATTATAATTGTGGACTTAATCATAACTTCTTATATTGATTTAACAGGAAACAAATAAGTTTTTGATTGTATATGTGTGTGTGTGTGTATATATATATGTATATATAAAAAAAATTCACTGAAATGAAGGTGATCCCCATTATTAGTTTGCTAATGCTATCATAGGCAGACATAAAGATGAAACTATCTAAAGATATGATTTCAAAATTAGTTTAGAAATGAAAAGTTATCAAAAGGATGAATGTGCAGGCAGCATTGTGCTGTGAGATTTGGGCAGAAGGGATTAGCTTCTCTGGAATTCTTTGTCACTCCTGGCAGCTGCCTTGATACTGCGTAAAAGAAGCTGTGTTCTTTGTGCGTCTGGTTCTGAGTTGGTATTCATTCTGTAGTAGCAAAAATGCTGACACTGGTGTCTGGTTTTCTCAGCTACTTCAAATGTCCTGTTTAACATTTAGAGTTCTTGGAACTTCTCTGTGAACAACTAGTTAAGATTTATGAATTTCAGCCACACTATAATTTAAATCTGCTACAAATGGGCCATACTTAATGACCAAAAATACTTATATGTATAATATTGAAGAAAATGTTTTCTGAGTTCAAGACAACCAAAGTTCTGTGTGAATTTCTAGAATATATTCTCTTTCTAAACTGACAATTGCTTCTGACAAAATTCTAAACATTTGATTTAACTAGATATTTTAGAATTTAAATGCTTATACATAATAATGATATATAGTCCCAGTACTGAAAACTGCAGCATGAATTAACATTTTTTACCTAGACTGGGGATCACTATTAAAATGGTAATTTTTCTTCAGCTAACTTTTCATTGAGTGTTGATAAGCCTCTATTACATTTCTGTAGGATGTGATACTCAATATGAGAAGTAGTTGTAATTTTTTTTAAAAATTACATTGTTTGTGTAGGGGAGAAAGTATGTAAGCACATCCAATACTCCTGAAACAGTGAGTGGAGGTTTAGGTCAGAGATTAGAAGGGATGATGGCAAGGTCTTTAGTAAATAGGTCTTTTCTGCCATCTAGTGGGCAAAATAGAGATAGACAATTGAGTGTATTTTAAAAGAATATCATGTAGCAATGGCCAGTAAACAATATGCATATGTTAATTGCTCATAAATGATGAAGATAATCATGATTATGTTTAATAAGCATATTTCATAGATTTTAATAACCAAAATTAGTTGAAGCAATACATCCTATTGTTTGAGAGAATATGGATTTTGGAATCTACCTGTGTTCTTATTTCATCTCTACCTCAGAGCTGCTGTGTAACCTTAGGCAAGTTACATAACCTTCCTAAGACTCAGGTAAAAGTAGCAACAACTTCATGGGTTGTTGTGAATACTAAAAGAATTAAGCCACATAAAATGTTTTTCAGTGTGTTTGCCGCTATAGCTCGTCTATGTTATCGGTTACTGAGCATTTTTAGAGTGTGGTAGGCACCGTGGTAAGTGGTACCCTTCTTATTATTCTGATCTTTCTGTTGAAGAAGCTGAAACTCAGAGAGGACACGTCATTTGCCATTGGTTGCACTATTGTAAAATTACTAAATGGCAGAATCAGAATCTGAAACTCTCTGTAGAACTCATGTTCTTAGCCATGTTTGACATTGCTCTCAATAAAGGCAATTTGATTGTAATGGTAAAAAGAGATAAAATGCCAATTTAAACACTATTATTACTGAAATCAAACTGAACTGTTTTGATGTATTGAGGTCTGTGCCACACATGTCTGATCTGAATTGTTTCATTTAAGTTTTGATTATATACAGTGATAATTATCTAAGACATAAAGCACAACCGCATGAAATATCTGTTCAATATTTAATATCTGTTCAGTGTCAGAACTTTGGATCTGAAAGAGTATCTTATAGACAATATAGATGAATTTACTCTATTTTCAAAGAAAAATCTTTTAGTAGACTTTCAAATGAATGAAGAATACATATGTGAATATGCAAAGTACAAATAGTTCAACTCTAACAAGTTTATAATCGTTTTCTGCTTCAACCATTAGATTAACAGCAGAAAACACAAAACATGGAGTGTTAGTGAAGCAACTCTTAACTTTTATTGGTAATTGACCTGTTTTGCTATGGAAAGAAAAAAGACATAATGGGAAATTACTGAAGATAACTAATTTTTCTTCATATTCTCATTTCATATTCCCTTTCATATTCTTAAAATATTTAAAAACCACCATGTAAGTGGAAAATCCCCATGTACTTAAAATCTCCATGTAAAGGATTAATAAACTTGCTTACTCATAATTGTTTCCTAAAAATAGATGTTTATTTATGCTTAAGAATATATTATTTCCCGATTTAAATTACCTTTGGCTGCATAAATATCATTGTAATATATTGAAACAGTAAATTCTATAAAAATTAATTATTCTGAAATATTATTTTGTAGCTTATTCTATTATGTTTATTTTTAAACAGCTTGAAATAATGCTGGAGCCCAAGGTCTGGAGAGAAGCTGCTACTCAAGTATTCTTTGCCTTAGGTCTGGGATTTGGTGGTGTCATTGCCTTTTCAAGCTACAACAAGAGAGACAACAACTGCCACTTTGATGCTGTCCTGGTGTCCTTCATCAATTTTTTCACTTCTGTCCTGGCAACATTGGTGGTGTTTGCAGTTCTGGGCTTCAAAGCAAATGTCATAAATGAGAAATGCATTATACAGTATGAATATTAATTTCCATTTGCCTTTTTTCTTATTTAGTTTTTATTTTGTTATTTATAATTTTACTGATACGTGATAGCTATACATATTCATGAGATACATGTGATAGTTGGACACAAACATACAATGTATAATGGTCAAATTTGGGTAACTGGGATAGTCATCACCTCAAACATTAATCATGTCTTTGTGTGGGAACATTGCTCATTCATTAGCTTATAATGGCATAGTCATTTACAAACTATACACCAAAGAACTCTTATGTGCTCATTTGTATGTTGTTTTATTTTTCAGAAATTCAGAGATGATCATGAAATTTTTGAAAATGGGAAACATTAGTCAGGATATTATTCCCCATCATATCAACCTTTCAGCAGTTACTGCAGAAGATTATCATTTAGTTTATGACATCATTCAAAAAGTGAAAGAAGAAGAGTTTCCTGCTCTTCATCTCAATTCCTGCCAAATTGAAGAAGAGCTAAATAAAGTTAGTAAGCCATGTTTGAGCAATAAAATAATTATCATTCAGTTGAAATATGCATTATCCAGCAGACTCCCTTCAGGAAAAGGGTCTTCAAATGCCCGAGGAAGCTCTTAAAATGCCCAGAGAAGCTCCTGGGCATTGTAAGGCTTTCAGAATTTACATTCTTAATTTTAGAGAATATGTTTTCTTAAATGGTAAAGATTTGCTTTATTTAAAAAAGTTATTTCATTCATTGAGCCACAATAATTTAAAATATGAATATAAAGTGATTTTCATCATAGAATGATGATCAGTCTGAAATCTTTCTTGCTATAATATTCAATACAGAATTAGAATTATGGCTCTCATTTACATATACATCATATGATTGCTTTGATGCATGAATAATATTTAAAATAGAAATTTTAGTAGTTGCGTTCCACAAGTCATGATCAAGGGGTTTTTTTTGTTTGTTTTATTTGTTTGTTTGTTGTTTTGTTTTTTTAGCCAGAGTCTCACTCTGTCGCCCAGGCTGGAGTGCAGTGGTGCGATCTTGGCTCACTGTATCCTCTGCCTCCCAGGTTCAAGCAGTTCTCCTGGTCAGCCTCCCGGGTAGCTGGGATTACATGCATATACCACCACATCCAACTAATTTTAGTAATTTTAATAGAGATGGAAGAAGGGGGTTCACCATGTTGGCCAGGCTGGTCTCAAATTCTTGACCTCATGATCTGCCTGCCTTTGCCTCCCAAAGTGCTGGGATTACAGTTCTGAGCCACTGTGCCCGACTGATCAAGTTCTTTTTCTTAGCTATGTTGTATTAAGTAAGAAAAAGGTCAGCGTTAATAAATGTGCTTGTATTGGCTGCCACTGTCTCCTGTATGTCAAAAAGGGAAATATAATGGGAAATTAGTCACTATTTGCTTTAAGATAGTTAAATGTACTTGAGACTAACGTAAAGAATCATGTGTGGATATTATTCATTAAAAACGTAAAGCCATCATTAATAGAAAAA